TTTTGAAACAGTCAACGCATATCAATGTAAAGCTGGTCATTTTTTGCCAACAGTTTACAGTTTATTGAAGATCACACAGGTTTTTCAATTAAAAAAAAAAAAAGGCCCTTTGCCACTTAAACGTCTCCACAGCTTGAACCCGGTAGGGACGACGATTAACATTTCTCAAACACAGCTGGAGAGCAATTTATTCCCAGTGGGTGGATGAGCGGTGCTTATGGGATATTTGGAGCCATTTTCTCAGATTTCAGAGATTACAGAAAGAAGTAAAAAAGAAAAAAAAAAAAGAAAAGAAAAGCTAATCTCTTTGGTGGAGACGACTTCACTTCAGCACAATTAAAACATGAAACCAACAGCAGCATTTTAACACCAGATGGAGGGTAAAAAAGCTCAGAGAGACCCTGAACTGTGAAGAAGACGCCGTCTTGCTTAACGGCGCCGCAACTGTGTCCTATTTTTGAACTACTGTTCTCATCAGTGTGAGGTATTTCTATCAGAACAAAGCACAAGTTCAAGGAGAGTGTGAGGCAAATTCTTCCAAGAGATGCTTTTGATGCACGACCTCTTGCTCTCTTTTTTTAAATAACAAAACAAAACAAGAAATAACTCCCAATGCTCCCCAGATGGAAATAAATATTATAAGTCTGTCTATTAAATTAGCAGGTTTCCAGCATCCATCTGCTACTTGTTTTGTGTGTTTTTTGTTGTTTTTCACTGTAAGAGACAATCTGTGATAAACAGCCCAGAGAAGTGAAGCACTGGGGAGACGAAGAAGAAGAATCCGTCCTCTCCGTCTCTCCAAACTTGGTCAGAAAACCCGTTACACTCATGGTGCTCGCATGTTTTCATCCTCGACTGTGACCCAGCAACGGTCTCCTGTGAAATAACAATAAGAGCATTCATATTTCAAGCCTGCGCTTTGATCCATTTAAGGCTTCAACTTACTTCACGTTGTCTCAAGTAAATAATAAGCCAGACTTTTACGTAGCAAAGCGATATCTATACTTCCCCAGTGTGAAATAACTGCTGTCCCAACACCAGAAACTAGAGTGGAGCATGTATATACTGAAGCACAATAGGAATATGAATGGAAATATGACTTAACGCTCTGATACCGACGACATGACTGTCTTTAAGAGACTGTAGCGACTCGGTTTTAAAGCTAGAGTAAAGATATTGATATCATATGAAACTAGGATCCAAATATTCAACTTTCCTGTTATAAATGTGTTGGGTAGGTATTCCGTTTTCAATTTTTGTATTTTGAATATTCGTTTTTTGGTTTTGTTTACCCCCTCAGGATTAAAAATATGCCTCCAACACACCAAACCTTTTGGAAAATACTTCTCAGCCAAGAGTATATTGACAATAAGGAATCCAGAACAGAAGTGCTCGTCAACAAATGATGCAATTCTTGTAGAAATCTCAAAGTGTCAAATCACAGCATTGGATTTTTGGATTCTGCAGGGAGTTTTGACCATTTTTGACCAATTTTCCAGTTATTTTTTCGTCGCTGATCTCTGATAATGTTACATTGTGAACAAGCAATCCGTGTTGAAATTGACCCGAGGAGAACAAAGGTTCTGTTCGGTCAAATTATGATGCGTTCAGGCTCTGTTCATTGAACATTGGGCGAAGGTAAATTATAACGTTGCATGATGTGTTCAAATGTAATCTCGTGAAAGCTAGTTTTGATGACAAACTTGAATAAATCCAGTTGTTACAACAACAACATAAATAGATATTAGAGATGAATTATGAGCCATTTAACTTCCTAACACGAGCTCTAAGCAGCTTATGATATGTCATCCAAACTACTAATGACAAGATTTATTTGAATCAAACATACAATCTTTTATTTCCTTATCATTTGAATGCTGTTTTTAAGAAGAGTAAAATTACTCCAGCAAAGTAAAAGGATAACATTTAGAATTTCTGATGGTTTAACTGACTTCAGAGCGGTTGAAATGATTTTTTGGACGTTGGCAAAAAAGAAAAAAGTCTGGAGCCGTGTAGACCAGCTGCTATAACTAAACAACAAAGGGATCCGTATCTGCCAAATAAGGATCATCAATGTTCTGCAATAAGTATCAGCGGCAAAAAAAACCCGATCAGGGATCTGTAAAGGTCATATTTGCTCCTTTTTTTTTTGGTCCTGATCCGATCTGTGAGTTTTATGATCCGTTGCTCCACCATTCATTTACATTGAGCGATCTGCTTTAATCAAGTGTTATCGACTCCGCCGGGTCAATGATACTCATTTTTCCTGCTCTCCCTGTTAATAACCTCTGACCTTTGACCCGCTGAGGATTACCTCAGGGTCAGTTGTGGTTCATGATCACGTGATCAGTGACCTTTTCTGCTGTCACACATTCTCAAGGCCCAACAGGCCAAACGGACGCATCCTCCAGCTCATCGATCACCTCCCGAGGAGACGCATTCACCGGGAAAGAGGGACTAAACGTCCAGCCTCCAACGACGGGACCAACAGGAGTGGCTAAACTTTTTAAAGGGACGACACAAACACTCGCACCTCTCACATCTGCTTTTCAGAATGAGCAATCGCAGACGCCGTTCCGAATTCTGATGTCGTCTCTGCCTCGAGCCCAAGGTCCACTCTGTCTGTTCAGTAAATTCCTCCGGCTGGATGAATAACGTTCGGTCAAATAGACCCGCTGCACTCGATAAAAAAACCCATTTAGAGCGTCTAGTGAGGATAAATCTCCTGTCACATCCGCGACAATAAAAAGAACCACTCCTGTAAAGACAATAGGAGTGTGCTTGTTTCAAGAGCAGTGCATCGGACTACACTTATTGTTATATCAATAGATGATTTAAAGCTGTGGTTTTAATTACATAACACTAAAATGAATCTTCGACTTTATGTGTTTTTATCCAGAGTGTTAAAAGTGTGCAAGTTGCCGACGGCGGCACATCGTGGTCTGACTCTATCATTCTACACGATGTCTACTGAGAGATGATCTCCAACCAAATATATTTTCAATCCAACATGTCTACGACCACGTCATCGCACCGCTGTGTCAAATTGGATGGACAAAATATAATAAAACAGTGCCCGTGTCATCCGGTTCACACACTTGGTGCGGTGGGAACCGATGATGAAGCGTCAAAAGCTACATTCAGGGCGCTGACCAGGAGAACAGTGACGGGCTTTGTTCCTGCTCTGCTCCCGTGGGACCCAGTTTGGCTGATGGTAATGGGCCCGTGTCCATATGGGGGGGGATCCAGGCCATCTTGCAACATACAGGGACCCTTCATTAACACCAGGACTGCCAAGACGGCCTGACAAGCTGTATCTTTACATTCTAGATGGTGTCTGAAGTCCCACAAGGTACTAAGATTAAAAAAAACTGAATTTCTGAGCAATTATTCCTCTGATTGCCACTGAAGTCATATAAATCGCAGTTGTCATCGTATACATTATGACCATATAAGGTCATTTTATTTAATCTGCCAGAGCTGCAACACAACTAGGACCATGGCCTCTGATTGGTCAACAGACTCGACCCGAGGCATCAGGAACTGTTTGAGGAAGGCTAACAACAACAACAACAATAACTGTTTTCAACAATGGTTAAAAAAAAGATTCACAGAAAACGGGTATTTTACAAAGTCTCCAAAAAGACACTGCAGTTGGAGGCTGGATTACAAAAATACCCTAAAATTCCCTCATTACCCGTAGTGCTATTTAAACATGCTCCCTTTCACCTCCATTGTATTGGGGTGGAAGCATGTCCCAAAGCCGGGACAAATTAGACCAAAATGATCTGCAGGGCTCGATACCACCAGTAGTGAATAAGAACATATGTTGTGGAATTTAAAGCTGGGGTTGGTAGTCTTGAGAAACTAGCAAGAGTACGCTAGTGAAACCCATCCCAGTGTCACCAACAATTTCCCAATGAAAGTAGGTAGCAGCAACGACAAGTTGCTAAACAACCAGTCAAGTCAGGCAGGCCGGGAAGGCAGTCGGTCGGTGTGCCGGGGGCCAGACGAGGGAACAGTTGGACCGCCACTTTTCCAACTCGCTGAGGCTACCTGGCTTTGGCATCCACCGCTGGCATCTCTCTCTGCCAAATGCCCGCATGCGGCAGGACGGATGGACAGGCTGCACCCGGAGAGGGAGGGGAAGGAAGGGGGCTCGCCAAACGCTCCGAGAGGTCAGCCTTGACCAGACCTTTGGCTGAGTGTCCTTGAAGGCCTCGCAATCATCTCTCCGTCACCTCTGGAGCCCCGAGGGATGAGGGCAGAGCGCTTTAACGATCACTAATAAGGCCTCGGAGAGACATGCGACACAGGCCGACCCAAAAAAAAGGAGCAGTAGAGGTGGCGGGAATGACTCCTCTGACATTACAATCTGAATTTAACTGTCGGGCCCGTCAGGGAGACGGTAATAATATTCAGAGCAGTCACTGATCTAGCTGGTGTGTGTGTGTGTGTGTGAGCTTAATACGTGTGCTTCTCAGTACATCTGAGGGTGATTGACTGAAAGGGAGAGAGTCGTTAAGCCGTGTGATTTCAGCCACTCGCTGATTTCCTCATCATCAGCCAATGTCAGCGTCGCTGTCAGGTAGAGAGGCGCCGAACGCTGGACGGAGGTGAAGGCAATCAATAGTTGGCTTCAGAGGGGGTCCGCGGGGGGGAAAGACAGCCATCATGGAGCTCATCATCAGGCTTCGGGTACATTGCATGCGACGCGGGGACTTGGCGCACTCTGTCCATCCATCAAAGCGCACTGCATTAGGCCTTTATCTGATGCTATATATTACCCCCTTTAGGACACTTACTGTGGCAATTGAGGTGAAGCTTGAGGTCTGAAAGGTGGAAAAACTACCGGCGAGCTTTCTGCCGACAAGGATCTCCTAATTCCCACCATGTCCCCTATCTTTTTTTGCCTTTTCCTTTGCTACGGAGTGATACAACAGCTATTAGGACTCTGTGGAGGACAAAACAGTAAAAGAGAGCTTGATTTAAGTACTCACAGTTTCTCCAGGGCAGCCAAGCCATAGAAGGAGCCATTCCTCAGCAGGGAGATCTTGTTGTCACTCAGGATTCTGTGTAGGGGATAGAAGACGTGGACGGAGAGAGGACGAGGTGAGCGATGCGAGAACGAGTGGAGGGTGGAACATTTATAAATATCACGACAGTAGGCCTAACTAGAATTACCGACCAGTCATGTTGCAGTTTAACATCCATGTCTGTCCAAAATGTCATCGCTTCATCGTTTTATCCTCTTAGACGTGCGTTTGAAATTGTCATAATTAGCAAACTAATTCTTAAGTTATGACCAAAAACGTGTTTTGTGAGGTCACAGTGTGGACAGTTGTGAAGCCAATGCTGAAGTGCCTAAAAGCTGCATTCTTTCTAATGGCCAGCAGGGGGAGGCGAGTCTACGGGACCCACTACAGTGGGATGGCCACAGCTGTAGCCGGTGTTACTTATTGGAATGTCTGATAAATTGCTTATCCTCTGACTGTCAATATATTGGCCAAAGCTAAGGATTTACGTCCGAGGAGATTGCGGTTGTGAATTACCGATCCCGGCCACGTCTCCGTGTTGTTTATGGCCATCTGTGCTCAAGATGGGTAATGATCCAACCACCCCCCCATCCTCCGCTCCTCTACGTCAAAATATCGGCCTAATTGAACAGCTTAAAAAAAAAAAACGCCGCTTCAGCACAATTCAATCAATTTTGCTCACATTACAACAGCAAACAAATCAATGAAACGCACCGCAGGGATCTTTAAGTGATGAATAAATATTCAGCGGCGATGCAGCACCTCCGATTTTCATGATTTCAGTAACAGACGTCGCTGTGTTTCCTTTTTCTTTTACTTTTTAGATGAATTATGTCCGCGCTGAACTGTAAAAACTATATGTCGCTCAAGTGATGCATTTGTCTAGCGAGAAAAGAAAAGTGCTTGCACGGGACTTCCTGCTGAGTGTTACTGGCAGGCAAAAACACACACACACACACACACACACACACACACACACACAAAGTCGTGTCCCATTATTCAGCATGTTGGGCCTTGAGCTTTCCCTCAAAACGAAAAAACCCAGACAAGAATACAATCACGTAAAAACACACACCGATATTAGTACTCTTGTGAGGTCTATTGAAACAGTGGTATTTGTTCCCTAACCCCGACTACTTCTCAGCTCTCTATTGGTTAACTTGAGCCGAACTGAAAAAACAAGCTTATTCTTGTAGGTATGAGAATGATAAAAAAAAGGTCCTTAACAGGAAGTGTAACAACCCTAAAAAACACACACTCGAGTGCAAACAGTACAGTCCGGTGTTATGATCCCACGGTGACTCGTTAGAGCACATCAGGCCTGCTGTGTTACCTGCTGCTCGAGTGCAAGAGACATTTCAGACTCTGGATCAAGTCTACTAATAACGTGCACTCCGTTTGGCCGAACACGGTGATACGACAGGACGCTACAGGTGGTGAAGAAATGTCTCTCTGTGTGGTTATTAGAGGCAAGAGAAGCGACGTTTGTGGAAATCCTTTCAAACAAATAATAAATAAGATGAAAACTAAAGGATATGGAAACAAGGAGTGAAGTTAGATTGCAGTCATGAATTAGTTTGAAGACGATGATATATATGTTCTAAGTCGGCCTCACACTACGGGTGATGGGGTCCTCCGTGAACACAATATTTTCTGCTGAAGTTGGACCAGTTTCTCTCTCGAGGTTTCTTTCTGTGCCGTTTTTGTCGGAGCTCATCTCACTGGTTTGAATTCAGTTTGGTTTGGTTCAGTTACACAGAGTTCAGTTACCGATCGGTATTCAAATATAAATAAAACATTATTTTCAGTCAACAATGTGATGACAGTTGCGGGGTTGCTTCTTATGCCTTCAATCCACCGTCAATCAAGTCTAATCAAACCACGCCGACACAGTCCTGATAAACCTTAGTTGTTTCCTGTGAAGATGGAAGTTTATTTTGAAAAGACAGTATGCATGTAACAAGCGAAAACAGACTCATGTTGCTGGACTTTTGCAGGAAAAACGCACGAAAAGTGAGGAGTAATATTTCATAAGATATCAATAAAACCGGGATGAATTTATATCATTGTATAAAGAGAGTGACGATTAATCTCATGTCTGTAAGTTAAATCAGCTATAATCACTATTTTAAAGTGATTAGTGACTAGTCTAAAACATTTAAGAAAGGAATAACTTCAATAGAATCATTCTATACACTGTAGCTGCTTTACATTCTATTAGAATGTAACGAAGTTACATTCTGATACAATGTAGCCTATTTACATTCTATTAGAATGTAAAGAAGCTACAGTGTTGCCTTTGGACTTTGGACATGCCTGTGATAATGCAACAATGAGTTTGGGGGTTTTAAATTCTTTAAAAAAGCCTTTTAATTATGTATTTAAATGTTTTATGTATTTGAACGAGTTGTCATTCATTTTCCAGAAAAGGTTACTTTGTGATATTTACGAGGTTAGGAGCTAAATGTTTCTCTTGTACAGAGAAATATGGTCGGTTGATATGGTGTTAACTAATGCGTACGCAAAGGTTAAGTTAATATTGTCTTACTTTAACAAGCCTGCTGGTGCGTTCTCCTCGGGGAAAGCACCCGTCTCTCCCCGGAGCGACAACAGTTGTCTTGGCACAAGAAGCAGGACTGAAAATAAGGAAGTCCCCTCTCAGCGAAAAGGCCAGGAAGCACACAAACGTTTCAGCAAATGCATGTCAACATCCAAGACCGTATTTACATTTGTTTTACCCTTAAAAGCCGTCATGTGAGAATATCACGTCTCTTACGTCAGAATTAAACGTATTTACAGAGAACTAACGGCCACACTTGTCAGAGTGCAAAAAGACCAAATCAGCAAAGCCTAAACAAGACGCATAGAACACACAGGAGATACATATCATAGTACCAGAGGAGACAATTGGCTGACAGTTTACAGTGATAATACGGGAAGATTTACCACTCAAAATTTAGCAAACAAATTTATTCTGTCTTGTCTTTTTATTCAAGTCGACGGCTCGAGGATTTACAGCTACGGCTCAGTGAATTAGTTGGAAACTCCGTCTTCACCAGACTTGTGTTGCTTTCAGCTGATTTGTTTCAGTACATAAAAAGGTAAAAGGTATATTAAAGAAACATGATAGCTAACTACTGGATCAGGCTGTTCTCATTCACCGTTTGTACTTATACTTTACAAAACGTAATGCACTACAATTAGTATATATATAACCAACGTAACTGTGAGACAGGAAGTGCAGGGCTGCCTTTATGGAAGTCAGGTGACGTGGAATAAAGATAGCCCACGTGGGGGAGGAGGTCGGGGGGGATATTTGGGTCAAACAAACACGGGACCCTCACCCGGGAGGGGTCCACATTGATTCATTTTGAATATGTAACTTACGTGACTACTTTTATGACTACGCAACAAATAGTACTTATTTTAAGCCAACCCACTTTCCCATAAACCTGACCAAGTAGCTCAAACGTGATTATTTCAACCCTAAATAAAAGAGTTTTGTCGTCTAAACGAGTTCTGAGCTGCAGGGGTTCGTGCAGGTGCACTGATCACTCGTGTTCGTAGGTGACAAAAAAAAAGAAATCGGAAAATAACCTTTTGTAAGATATTATACAAACCGTTGTAATAGTATACTTTACCTGGATAACAGGCTAAGAGACAGAGGCTAAAGCTACGTGGCCAAAAGTCATCATCCACACTAGATGGTGGTCTATGTAAAAGACGAGCAACATGGTGGTTAGAATTACGCTTTGATGTTCTTCATTTGAAATGGCTTCAGTTTAATGAGAGAAAAGTGGAGATGCTGGACTGCAAGCTCCCCCAAGCTCAAAAATAAAACTATTGCTACCCTAACAATACACAAATAACCCTTGAACCTCATACTAATATAGTTTGCTGACGCCATGCCCCTTGTCTTTGTAAGTGATGCTAGGCTACCACTGTTAAACAGCAGGCAGGTGGGGGCTTGTAAAACTCCTCTTTGTCCACCAATAGATCAGAACACCTCGGCTGTGTAAGAATGGACCACTGGATTTACAGTCAGCCGTTTAGCGAGTGAGCAACAACTCGTATGGATTTTTATTGTTGCCAATCCAGACGTCAATATCTCTCTGGGGTTTCCGTCCAGGGAGCTCTCCGAGAGCAGAAGAACCGCAGCAGATATGAGCCGGCAGGGAGTCGACTAGGACGTGGTGAGAAACATTTTCACAATATTTCACCCACAGATTTATCGAAAAAATAATCAGAAATTCATAATGGCTTTCAGTTCCAGAGGCCCGGTGGAGTTTATTCTTTTGCTTCCAGGGCTCATTTATTTAAAGCCACATATGGACGGTGCGATGGAGCGAAGGCAGTCAACACTGAGATCCTGAGATACCAGTGCTGTCGCTGTGTTTTGTCCCGGGTCTCCCTTCTGTTCCCCTGAAAACCACTACACCTCCATCTGCGGACGTCCCACTCAGGGACAGGCGGCCTCTGTTTGTGCAAACTCAAGCGTGTCTTGTGCTTAGCTATGCCATGCGTATCTGTGTGTGTGTGTGTGTGTGTGTGTGTGTGTGTGTGCGCGTCTGCTCGCCGACCTCTGCGTGCCTATCTCTGGCTTCTGCGTAACGTCCAGGAAATCGCAGGAAAAACAGAATTGAACATTGTGTAAACAGCCCGGGACAGACTTCTGGAGCGTCCGTCCAGCTCTGTATTTACATTATCAATTATGCTGCTCTCAGCGAGGGAGGAGTGCACACCGATTCAGCATTGTCTCTGTGGGCCGCAGCAAATGGTTTGTGTCATTTGGGCCACAGCCGGACGTGTGTACATACAACACCGGGGTTGGGGGTTGCACTTTCACAGTCCTGCCATTTGTGTGAATTTGGCTTATTGGTTTATCATGAGCTCAAAATTACAAGGCCGCAAAGTTCATGTATATTAAAGTTCATGAATATAAAATAAAGTCGATCTTACCTTATCTTATCTGGTTGGATTGATAAACGTATTCGAAAGTCAAACTTGAGACTTTTTTTTTTTCAAGCAATATAATA